CCCTCCACCCCCGGGCCGCCCTGGAAAGAGGTTTCCATCATTAGGCTTTGGAGTGAACGCCCCGCAGCGACTGACGGGCGGCGGCAGCAGCTTCTCGTCTGTCCCCAGCTCAGGTGTCACCTCGTCCCCGCTCTGTGCCCCCCAAACTGGTTTCCAAGCCTCTGACTAAAAGTGCCCCCAGGCACCCCCACCCCCGCGGCCTCACTTGTTGGGCCATAAAAATATGAATAATCGCTGGAAATAAGAGGGCATTAAAAACCCCCCATGAGCAGCAAAGAGCTGCGCTTTTAGCCAATCAATTAAAAGGCAGAGCGAGGGGATTAGCTCACCGAAATATTAATTTTTAATAAGGTTGTGTCTGAGCGCCTCCAAAGCCCCCAAGGCCCTGTGCTGGGGGGCTGGGCTGAAAGGGCTGTGCTGGGGTGATCAGCAGCCACAGGTGAGCACCTCTGGGTGAACACCTTTCACAGCACAGACCCAGGGACAGGCTTTACCCCCACACAGGGCTGGTCTCCAGGCATGGGGACAGCGATGCCAGTGGGTGACATCCAGGCCATGCATGGCTGGTGAAGAAATGCCCGTTCTCCCCGATGTGTCCCCTCCCCACCCTCTCTCCTTTGGGGAACAGACCAGCAGCTCACACCACCATCAGAGCCCGGGCCCATCTGGGCTCTGTATTTATAATAAAAAATCATATACAAATACATACATATATATAATATATATAAAAAGAAGTGGGCAGTTTGTGGCTGCCAGGCTTGGTGCCTCTCTCTGCCTGCGCCTCCTCCTCCTGGGCTGCTCAGTGATGCTGGCTTTGGTGGCCACACCAGTGTTCCAGGAGATGCCTGTGGCGAAGGGGCATCCAGTACTGTCCAGGAGGCAGTGGGTTTTGGAGCACCCCTGGGCAAATTTCTCCCCACCGCTCCGTGCCTCAGTTTCCCCATCTATACAAGGATCACCGCACAGCTGGGCCCTGTGGCGACAGGCACTTGAATGCAGAGGACTGATGTGGGACATCCTGCGGTGGTGGCACTGGCCCTGGGCTCTAGGGCACCTGTATCTGCAGGTCCTCATCCTCGTCGGGGTCACTGGTGCCGTCCCCAGCGTCGTCGGGGCCGAAGCGGGCGCTGCGCATCTTGCCGAACAGTGGGGCACTCTGCTGCCGCCGCAGCCTGCGAGGGACAGCTGCTGGGGTGGGGGTGGCAGCACGGCCCTGGGAGGGCCCTGAAGCTGAACCCACTCCCCTGCACCCCTACAGCATGACTGCACCCCAGAGAGGTTCCTTCCTGCAGCCCTCACTGAGCTCTGAGCGCAGGATGAGCCCCCGCAGCCTGGGGCCAACACTCCAGCATGGAACTGGGGAGCTGTGGAAGGTGCTCAGCACAAGTGGGGCACAGGCTAAACCCCTCCATGGCTGGACATCACTGTGCTGGGCAGCACAGACCCAGACAGGACTGCAGAGAAGGGAGATGTCATCCCCTGAAATTGAGGAACCCCCAAAAAACCCTGGAATCCCCCTTCCCAGGAACATGTGGTGGTTTTAGCTCTTTACTTGCCCTTGCGTGAAAATTCATCAAGGAAAATTTATGAATCAAACTTGAAGTCCGAAGGCCCAGGATCCAGTGAGATCCAACCAGTGCACTACACTTTACTGGAAAGCGTGAATTATTTAGGGTTGAGCACACAGGGAGTCTGGGGGGGGTGGTTGCAATAAATCCTCCATTATGCTTCCATGATTTAATGCAGATGTCCCAATAAAATAAACGATGATTACAAACACCACCACCCCCCCCCAGTGCCTCCTGGAGCCATGGCATCGATCCCACAGCCATTTCAGCTCTTTACTGCTGGAGAGGCAAAGCAGGGCCAGGGAAAGTTTTAAGGGCAAGAAAACTCAGCTCCCACCTCCCCAAACTTGTGTGGGATGCTAGGAGCCTGCCCTGGCCATGGGTACCAGTGGGTGCAACCCTAAGCAGCACAAAACTGGGCTGGCCTCTGGGCAGCCTTGTGCTGGTTTAACTGGGAGGTGAATGCCACCCAGCTCAAAGTGGGGTGAAGACTGCTCAGAGGATGGCTGTGCCCCTTCTGAGGATGTCAGAGGCACTTCGGCCATGCTTAGCCCAGGATTCAGCCAGGTGGATGCTGGTTGAGGGATGGTGGCAAGGAGAACATCATCCCATCCTTGCTGGTCCCTAGGTGGCTCACCCAGCCCCTGCTCACCGTGACTGCAGGTGCTCCAGCTGCACCTGGAAGCTCTCGCTCTGCTCCGTCTGCTCATCCAGCGACCGCTGCAGCTTCCGCGTCTGGTTGTGGGCTTCATCCAGCTGTGGGATGGGATGGGATGGGATGGGATGGGATGGGATGGGATGGTGCTGTTGGCAGCTGTGTAGGGAGCAGAACAGCTCCCTGACCCTCTCCACCAGCATGAGCTTTCCCACCTCATCCTCGGCTTGGGCCAGCTCCTTCTTCAGCTCCTCCACCCTCAGGCGCAGCTTCTTCACCTCTCCCTCGTGCTGCTCCACGCGGCGATTGGCATGGGCCAGCTCGGCCATCTTCTCCTGGTACTGCTTCTTCAGCTTGGTGTGGACGTGCTTCAGGTCGGCCAGCTCCTGTGGTGGGCATGGGGAGAGGGCTGAGCATGGGACAGCCACCCCCACCACTGGGTGCCCCCTCCTCCCTCCCCAGGGACCTCTCCCATTGCCCCACCCCATTACCCAGGAGCTGATGGAGCAAGAATGGGGTCACCACCATCCCTCGAAGGGTGGTGGCAAAATTTGGGCTTGAGGGAGTCCTTGTGGAGGCTGAGCCCCACCACAGAGTCACCCAGGGATGTGGTGGTGGGGGACAGCACCACTGCTATGGCACCTTGTTCTTCTCGAAGAGCTCAGCCTGGATGGTTTTGAGGTCAGTGTCCAGGGCACTGGCCGTCTGGCGCCGCTTGCGAGCCAGCACCTCCTCCAGGTCCTCGATCTGCGCCCGCAGCTTCTTGTTCTCCCGCTCCAGGTTGAGCTTCTCCGTCTCCAGCCGCTCCCGCCGGCCCCACTCAGCCGCGTTCTCTGCCTGCAGCCGCTCCATCTGGGACAGGGCAAGGGGTGGCTGGGGGCAGCAGGACCCCCCTCACCGCTCCCTTTGCCCCCCACGCTGGGCTTTGGCCTCACCTCTGCACGCAGTTCAGCCAGTTTCTTGTCCATGCTGGAGCGAGCACCCAGCTCATCCTCCAGGTCCTCAGAGATGCGCCCCAGCTCGTCCTGATGAATCTCCTTCAGGATGTTGAGCTGTGGGGAGACATGGCACCAAAGGGGGCTGTGAACACCCACCTTCCAACTGAGCCCTGCCCACACCCATCCACCCAACCTCTACAGAGGGACCCACTGCATCAGTAGCACTGATGAATGGATGAGTGAATGAATGAAGACCTTTAACAAGCAGCCTGGAGTTGGGGAAGTGGCTGTGGGCCACCATGTCCATCAGGATGTGCCATCCTGTGAGGGACAGGCTGTGCCTTGGGGCAGCTCTGTTCCCCAAGCACCTCACTCACCTGCTTCATCACCTCCTGCTTGTTCTTGTTGAGCTCCTCATACTTGATCTTCCACTGGCTGAGCTCACCCTCCAGCTTCTCGATGTTCTTGCTGAGTGCCAGCTTGTCCCTGGGGAGAGGCAATGATAGTGACAGACTGCAGGACCCCACGGGACATGCCATCCCAGTGGGGACCAGGCTGCTATCAGCTGGCACCCTGCAAGGATGACGCTCCAAGCACTCACTCCCGCTCCTTGAGCAGCACTTTTTGGGACTCATCCAGCCTCAGCTTCAGGGCGGTGACTTTGGTGGCATCCTCCTCCACGACACTGACGTCCTCCCAGAGCAGGCGGCTTCGTTCCTGGCGGCTGAAGGAGGCCCGGGGGCCCCGCTGCTCCCAGCTCTCGTCCTGCTTGCTCGTCAAGATGTTTTCCATCAGCTCCAGCTCCTGTGGCACCGTGGGTGGCCCAGCACAGGGGACAGGGTGAGAGGGCTTCCCAGCCCCTACAGGACCCAGTCCTCAGCCCCTAACCAAGAGCACCTCTCCCTCCATTCCCCAGGGATCCTCTAAGGCTGATGAAGGGGACTTGCCCTCCCAGGGGAGCTCCCATACATCACCACACTCTGCTGCCAGCTCCCTGCCATGCTGGAAATTTGGTATAAAGAAATTTAGAACCAATTTATGACATTGATCTCACCCAGGACTGCCACATGCGTTACTGTCCACCAGGCACTCTGACCACACGGTAAATGAGCTGCAGGGGTTTCCAGAGGACAGGATGTCCCTGGGGGCCAAGTGTGGAGCCCGTGGGGGATGCTCACATTAGTCTCTGATTTGTCACTTGGCAGCTGTGTGTCAGGTGGACTGAAGTGTCACAGCATGGCACCCCAAGCAGTGACTTCTGTCCTGTGACAGAGCCAACAGCAGCAGAGCAGGGATGGCTGGAGCAGCTGGGAGCATTCCTGAGTTTGCTCTGGTGCCTCCTCCTTCCTCCTCCTTCCTTCAGCAGAAACCCCTGCCAGAAGCCTGTATGGACACCCTGACAGTCAAACTGTGGCTGGGAGATGCCACCAGCACTGCCAATGCCACCATCCCCTCTACTGGCACAGTGATTTTTGCCTAGTGCCTCCAAAGGGAAAGCCCCAGGAAAGGGACTGGTGGCAGTGCCAATGTGATCTCGCTGCGTGAGGCTATGATGGCTCTGGATCTCCTCATGACACTGCTCTGAGGAATTTGATCCCCTCCAATGCTGTTCCAAGAGGGACCTGACTGCCCTGTACTGCTTCAAGAGGGGTCTGCCCTTCCTATGCTGCTCCTAGAGGGGTCTGAGCCCAAAATCCTGCTTGGAGGGGGTCTAACACCCTCCATACTAATCCAAGAGGGATCTGATCACCCTGTACTGCTCCGAAGGCCCTCCCAATCCTGCCCCAAGAGCAGTCCCTCCACACTGCCCATCTTTACAGGACAGGCAGTGGTGGTTTGGGGGTGGACATGGGTAGCACACAAGGACGAGGAGCTCCCCCGTTCCCCCGCCAGCCCTGCTCGCCCGGGGCAGCCCCGCACCCCCACCTTGGCTTTTTGGGGCACCTCAGCCCCCACATCCCGCACAGGCTCTTGCTCAGGGCCGGCGTCCCCC